TGAATTGCACAAAACGCATGATCGCACCGGCTAGTCTGGTGCGCGTTGCCATTTATTTTTTTATTGCAAAAATATGTTACTTATACATTTGACAAGTACTGAAAATAATCTGAGGCCACAACCGTCGTGCTGATGAAGTCCAGTTGTGATGCATAACAAGAATACATACAATTTCAAAGATTGAAACATTCCTGTTTAGCCATTCAATTTCAATTCCATGCTTTTTTTTAAATTTTAATAAAATACCGTTAAGCCATGCTTTGATTAATTTACTGATTTAAATGTCCTACCTCAACAAGCCGGCCTCATCGACACAGTTCTAATGGGATGGTCCAGGCATTTCAGAGAATGCGCAAAAAATAAGCGGTGCGCCAGAAACGAAAGGCGCAAGCAGAGTTTTTTGTGTACTTTATGTGTGGGGACTAGCTATGATCCAAATGCAAATTTGAATTTGTTGCATTTAAGACCACAGCTTAAATGTGACGTCGGGTTTTGGGTAATTATATCGCCAAGGACTTACTTTAACCTTCACGCTAGTCCTACGCAATAGACGAGAATTTATGGCAGGCACACCAAGCATACATGCAGAGTCACGGCTTCAATATAAATATGGAAAACACATCAAAGAGGCTGCCAGCCAGTGACTAATTTGCATTTGACATACAACAGATACAGTACTATATATATAAAAATATGTAAAATTGTACAAAATTATAGGAAGAATAGAAAATTTCGATCCACTAAGCCGAACCCTTCAGCCATCAAGCTGAGATCAACTTAGCGAATGAAGGGCACGTGTGTAGGGAAAGAAGAAACATAGGGGCATTTTCGGTCGAAATGATTTCTTCTGAGCAAAAATGACAGAAAGTAAAAGGACTAACGTTTGGAAGCGCCGAATGTGGGCTGCTGCGGTGCTGCACCGAACAGTGACGGCTGCTGCAGAGTTGTTGCTGTCGAACCAAACAGCGGCTTATTCGTCGTGCTGCAAAAGCCCAGTGCATTAAGGAGCATGGGTTCTTAATCTTGAAATAATTCACAATCTATCAAAAACAGCCCTACTGACAACTCCATCTCGGCAGCTGGTACAACTAACTGCAGCAGATAACGACTCCGCCATGATATTACTTAAGGAATGATATATCTGCTGTGCCAATCGGCAGTTTTGCTGACAGCTCGTCTATACTCTTTTACGTGAACGGTAATGGCAATAAAAATAATAACAATAACAACAAGAGTAATAATTACAAAGACGACAATGATAACAAATAACAATAATACTGACGATAATTATAATGGTGATAATAATTATAATAATGATAATAACAATGATGATAATGATGATAGTAATAATATTAATAATGTCAATAATAATCATAATAGTGCAAACGACAATTATAATGATGATAATAACAATAATGATAATGATGACAGCAATAATATTAACAACGACAATAATAATCTTAATAATGCAAACGATAATTACAACTACTATTGCACTTGCAATGCTAAAAATTACAGGCTAAAATGCAAAAGATATTCTGGGTGAAACAAATGGGCTGTGGCAGAGAAACATGCGACAGAGGCGAAGCAGGCAGACTTAAACAACAATATACTTGATATCAGTGAAGTACTTCTCGCTTCTGCCCCGCTGCCAGAAATTGGAAAAACACCTCAGGGGTCTAATTTCCAACGAATCCGGGATTCCCTGAATATGTATTGACCCTTCCAGTAAATAAGGTAGTTCAAAGTCGCATAGGAACCGTGATGCTCAGCATACTGTAGGGCATGTCTGAAACGGCTGAAGCGTTGCAAGTGTTCTTTTTTGAGCCGAAATAACAGGTTTTTCCAAACTAGGCGAATCAAAGCAACAAGTTTATTCGGTTCGGCACAAAAAGGAGGCCCGGTAGCGACCACTCATCAGTAACAACAGGGCATCAAGAGGGGATTCTGAATTTTTACAATAAGCTCAATTTTTACAATATGCGCTACTTACTCAGAAATTTGTACAGGAAATGATGCGACTGTCAGGCGGGCCATTGTAAAATACAGACACTGGTCATTATATATATATATATATATAAAGAAAAATATATAAATTTGTATAAGTGTTGTAGAAATTTTAAAGATA